CTGGAGATGGAGGGGCCAGGTCTCCCCTCATCTCCCACGGGGCACCCTCTAAGGCCTGATGCAAAGGAGATACTAGACCGGGTGCACCTTCTGTGCGGCAGGCGAAGGGCCAGAGGCAGAGACCCCATGCGTGACGGGCGCTGACATTTCTGGGGACAGAGGTGGTGGGCCTGGGACAAGCAGAGGAGCTCCAGGTGGCAGTGACTTTGGACAGGGAAAAGGAGAGGAGGTGTGCTGGCCGCCAGCGAGGACCCACAGCTACCGGGCAGATGACTCTCGTCCGTAGCAGTGATGTGACGAGGAGGGACCAGCGAGGGACACTGAGCCTGCGCCTGGGGTGGCCCTGTGTCTGCGTGTCTGTCTGCCACTCGGGAGGGAAGCAGAGGCTCTGAAGGTGTCTCGCTCTCTGAAGTGGGTCTGTCCCTGCAGGGAGATGGGGCTGTGGCTTGTCGACAGTCGCCTCCCACTGACTGTCACTCAGCTGCTTTTATCCACAGAGGACTGTCTAGCTGGTGGGGGGCCCAGCCACCTGCCAGTCCCACACCTTGTCAGCTAGATCCTGGTGTCTGCGGCTTGTGCCCATTTGCTCCCCAAATGCTTACGGAGCCACCTGCGTGGGAGGTCTGTGCTGGACTCCCGGCTGAGACAGGGACAGTCCACAGAGAATGACAGAGACCAAGACCCTAGGCAGTGACGAGCATCATAGCGAGTCAGCATCCAGGGATGGGATCGGGGCTGGCTGGGGCGGGGCAGCTACCTGAATCTAATCAGGAGGACAGGAGGCCCTTCTGAGGTGACATGGCCCAAGACTTACAGTGGGGAGGGGTGAGCAGGGCACAGAGGTCTGCAGAGCAGAGGCCAGAGCATCGGGGCTGGACCCACAGGGCCACAGACACAGCTGTCAGAAGAGAGTCCAGGACCATGGCTGAGGACCAGGCTCAGCAGGTCCCGGGTGTGGTCCCCTGACCACCCCGTCTGTGTCACCTGGTGACGTGTTGGAAATTCACCTGGTCAGACCCTCGAAGACCTGCTGAGTCAGGAGCACAGGGTGGGTGCCCGGCCTTGGAGGTGATTCTGACAGGCACTGGGGTTTGAGAATGACTATCTATGCCAGCCCCCGGGGGACACTCGGCAATCAATGATGACATTTTTGGTTGTCACGACTGGGGCCTGGGTGCTATTGTCAGGTGCTGGGGAGATGTCAGGATGCTGCTAAACACCCTGTGACACATGGGGCAGCCCAGTGGCAGCAGGGCCAAGGCTCAGAGCCGCCCTGCACCGAGATCAAGGTCCCCCCACCGCAGGATCCTAAGGAGGCAAATCGCAAGTCCGCAGAGAAATGTGTGGGAAAGCTGTCTCAGGTGACCCTGGCCCCGTCTCTGGTCCTGGCACCTGGAGCCAGGTAGACACCGGGGAGAGAGCTGGCCGTGGAGGAGGAAGGCAGCAGGGATGGCCCTGCTGGGACCCCGGCGTGATGGCCCAGGAAGAGGAGAAGGAGCAGGGAGGCAGGGGACCAAAACCAGGGGCCCAGGCAGTGAGGTGACAGGATGGAGGAGGCTAAGGAGGTGGCCGGGGACTGGACAAGGAGGAGGGCACAGACCGTCTCCATGCTGGACCAAGGCCAGGACAGGCCACATGGTGCGGAGGCACCGACACCTTCCCAGGGCCTGGGCACAAGTGGGAACAGAGGGGACAGGGCCCCGATGAGTCTGACTCCTCGGAAGGAGAGAGGCCACGGAGATGCTGCCTGACCTGTGCAAAATGTTCGTTTTGGGAGAGACCTACAGCGTGGGACTCTTGCCGTGGGGACAGAGCGAGGATTCACACAGAAGAGCCTGGAGGAGAGGCAGGCAGAATTGTTAATGGAGCAGAGATGTAGAGAGAGTGGAAGGGCCGGCCCTCGGGGACCTCTCTCGTGCCGGCCACGCAGCCCACGGCCACAGACAGGGCCACTGAGAGATTTAACGCACTAAATAGTAATAAGGCCACAAAAGATGCTCTGTCTCACCAGCAAGCAAGAAGCCACAAATTAACAAAATGAGCTTCGTCACTCAACTGTGCAAGAGAAAACCAGGTCGACGATCTCAGGTATCGGCCAGGCTTCGGGAGAAGGGCACCCTCAGAGGTCTGGAAGGAGTGTCGATCGGCCCATTTTCCAGGAGGGTGCAGTATCACAGAAATAAAACATGGGGCCCCCTGAGACCCAGACTTCCCCCTAGCTGGGTCACACCCTGGAGGAAATTCACAGGTGAGCGCAGGAAGCTCTACCTGGGTGACTGCCACCTGTTACGGATACAATGAAACACACACACAAAGCCAAGAGCTCAACTGGGTAAATACATTCCTTGGACCCTGTGTGGCGATGGAGCCATGCAGGGGTGAGGGGGTGAGGACTCCGACACCCGGTGTGGGTAGAAACACCAGCTGAAGGACTTTTGTGCCCTGTGCTCACACATGTGTGTTCTGAAACGCCTTTGTCCCAGACAGGTGACAAGGTGCAGAGGATGTCTGTCCACTCCAGGCATCCCAGAGACAAACCCGGAGAGAGAAAGGGGTGTCACACTTCACCCCCAGTCGTGTTCTGAGTTTTCACTAAGAGAACATCAATGCACGAAAGTGCATCTGGGGGTGCAGATCATGCCCCCTCGGGCTGATTTATAAAACATAAAATCCAGATGGAAGGAGGTAACATCCACTTCACCTTGTGCGGGGTGAGGCCGCAGCTGGGCGCCGGCTTCCGTGTCCAAGAGCAGCCCTTTAGAGCAGCAGTGGACAGGTAAAGAGCTCCCAAAGGGAGAGCGGATGAAGGACTGGGGCTTTTCAGCCTCGTGAAAAAATGACTCAGGTTGGGGTGCTAATTAACCTAAAACAGCACAGTCTCTGAGAGCCCCAGGGACATACATCGGGAGAAGATCCCGTCAGGACTGGTGCACGGCAGGTTCTTACAAGCCATTCGAAAGATAATCTTGAAATAGGTATGCCCAAAGAGAAGCATGCACTGTATCAGCAAGAAGTGAGTCCCCCATCAAAAGGGGTATGCAAGCACAGGCCAAGTCAACCAGGCAAGGCGGTTGTAGAACAGGCTCCCCTAGTCCACCCTTCCTGCTTCAAGCTCCCAGGTTGCTTCCAACTTGAAGATCCTGGACCCTCTTTACGCCAGAACTCCTCCACGTAACACAATCCGTAAAAACTTCACCGCTGGCTGCCCTCGGGTAAGGTTCTCCCACCCGCGGAACTACACACACCACCGACTGTGCACCTCAGACACCTGCTCTCTGGGTCCCATTTTGACCATCTGAACTAGAGGTGAGCTCAGGTGCTTCCCCCTCCCCTGGCATCATTCAATCACGGGCATCCAAGCCCTTTCTGCCTCTCTCCCTGGTGGACAGGCACCAGCCACCTGCCGAGCCGAGTCCTCCGATCCCACCCACAGAGGCATCAATTCCCAGTCAGCAAAAAAGCCAAACCCTTCATCATTTCCGTTTCAAGTCCGCTGCCTGCGCCCGCCAGGAAGACAAAAGGAGCCGGGGAGGGTTCTCCCGTGACAAGCCACCCAACTCCCATAATTGGAATGATCATGGCCCTGCATCACACAGAGAAGCACCAGCCCAACATGGGGCGCCGGGCTTCACCCCCGAATTCTAACGAGAGGATTCAGTAAAGCCGTAAGGGTCTGCTTGTGGCCACCACCTCTGCTTGAAACTCCAAAGAAATGAGCTCAGCCTCCCAGATAGAGAAAAGCCAGGGATTTCCTCTGGCTGGTACCTTGGTTTGACCGAATGATACAGTGTCAACAGACCTAACAAAGAAATCTTACAAGCCTTGAATGGGTTTATTGTTCAACATTTCAAATGGGGTTCTGGTGCCCACAGAACTGCCTTTAATGGGTCTTTGCGGTTAGACGGGAAAGGCCCTCTGTGTTCCAGGGAAGGGATGGCCCCCTCAGAGCCATGCCCACCCAGCCCCAGGGTCTGTCCTGACGTGGATGCCCACCAGGGATCGCAAGGGAGCCCCCCTTCCGAGTCCCTGCATTTAGAAGAAATGCTCCTTCAAAGAAGGGCAGGGACAACTTATTGTCCAAACAGCATCTATGAAGAGATGGTACTTCTCTAAGATGGAATATCGGGTCCTGTGGCTTGATACCAAAACACCAGCTTTGATTCTTTTTTTTTGAGCCCTGCATTTCAGAAGCTCAGACTTCTCCCTGGGAAGTGAAAATTGCCTTCTGGTGGAGAAAGGTTTTAATGATCACTTTGCTTCCTGCGTCTCCATGGTGACAAGGAGCGCACCGCCAACCCCCCTCCTGCTTTATTAGGCTTTTCTTCCTCTCTGGAAAGTAATCAATCAAGATACACAGCCGCCTTTGTGACCGGATTTATCACCCAAACAATCGAAGCTGCCGCGGGGTGGGGAGTGGACGAAGTCCATGTAATTCAATGAAATCGGCCGGGTCCTGGCACACGCCCATCACCTCCCTGCGGGCAGCTCTGGGAACACACCTGTCCGGGAAGGTGGGCGGCGCCCAGGTGCGCCAGGCCCCGCCGGAGCTGGGCGCCCAGAGGAAGCCCCTCTGCGCGGCGGCCCCAGAAGCGCTGCCTTCCAGGGCGGGGCCACCGGGCCACCTGAGCCCCGCCCGGGGGGAGGGGGGGCAGAGCTCAGTGTCAGCACTGGCGGAGGTGGCCACGGGTCTGCCTCTCTTCCCGAGCCGGTCCGCACCCCAGGAAAGGAAGCCCCTCGGAGGGGCCAGCGCCGCCCACCAGCCAGCAAAGAGGGCCTACGCCGACACCGGCTCTAGCTGGGAAGCCAGTGCCTTTCCGGACAAAGGGCTCCCCGCGCCCCAGCCGCGTTCCGGGGGATGTGACCTGCAGAGCCTGAGCGCCTGGTCCGGCCGGGGCTCCCCAAATGCAGGCGGGGGCGCAGAGCAGCACCTGGGGCGTGCGCCCCGTGCCGCCGGCCCAGGCCTCCCCCACTCGCCCGGCCACCCCCGCCCGCCCCGTTACCTGGATTCTCCCCGGCGTCCGCGGAGGAGGTGGCCGAAGAGTCGGTGAGGACACTGGGGTCACTCTGCGAGCGGCCCCGCGACACAAGGCAGCCGCTCCCGTCCTCCGACGCGGCCATGGGCCCGGCAGGCGCGGGGGCAAGTTGGAGGGAGCCGCGTGGAATTAGAGCATCCGAGGCGGCCAAGGTCACTGCGAGGGGGCTGGAGGGGGAGTCTTTTTAAAAAGCAGAACGAAAAAGGCCCGGGGAAGGGAAGGAGCCGGAGGACCGCGCCGGGGCCGCCTCGGGGCCGTAAGACAATAGCCTCGCGGCTGCAGCCAGGCGCATCCCGGCGCGCGGCCTCGCTCTGTTATTTATTCGTGTTTATTCCCATTCTTCCGTCTGTATTCCAGGAAAAAAAAAAGTTGAACCAGGAAATAAAAACTTTTTCTTGTCAGTGTTTATTGCGTGCTTGGGGTAGGGGGGTGATGTCTATTAATTTCTAAGGGCGCTCCCTCTCCCACCCCCCCAGGGAAAAAAAAGGAAAAATGAAGAATCTTTGCTCTTGCAATTGCTTTAATCTGAAAGCTGTTCTTGGAGCATCTGTTGGAAAACATTAGGATTCTCCCATCATGCCGCGCGAGAGGAGCATGACGTCACGAGAGGGGAGTGAGAATGAGCGTGGTGGTGGGGAGGGGTCTCAAATACCTGGACTGCACGCCGCCGCCCAGGGGAGGTGGGGGCTGGATCCTGAGTGATGAACCGCCTACCCCCACCCCCACCCCCACCCCCACCCCAGCGGTGCTCAAGAACCCGGAATGCTTCCAAGTCCCTCTTCCTCCCCTCCCGGACCCTGAGGACACCTCCCTGAGAGGCAGGGCCAAGCTCCTAGCAGCTTGGGCAGCTGGTTTCCTGGGCTCTTGGAGATTTAAAGGCCAGTGGGTCCCCAAACCCAGGCTCTAACATGGGGGAGCGCCCCCACCTTTATCCCTGCCCACTTCAGCCCCTCCCCACTGCCCACCCCACTTCCTCCAGGCCCTCAGCCGCTATCCTGGGAGGAGAGAGGCAGGAGGGGCACCTGGTGCCTTCCTGGGAGCTCCCCCCAGCCGCCCTTGATGAAGTTGATGGGGCCAAGCAAGGGAGGTGACATCTCCTAGGGCTGCCACTTGCAGAGGTGACCTCCCAGGTGCTAATGAGCAACGCTCCCCATGCTAGATGGCGGTGTGGGAGACACGCAGGCAGCGCCCGCATCTCTGGCCAAGGCGCAGGTCACAGCTGTGCGCAGAGCTGGGGACACCATCCCGTTTCGGCTCCTCAAACTACCCCAGGGAACGGGGACTACTGGGTCCCTTCCGGGGCGGCTCCTTCATACCCCGCAACCATCCAAAGCAGGGCTCTGGCCCGAGGGGGGCACCCTGTAGTGTCAGATGGAACCCCAGGGAAGGGCCAACCGAGAACCACGCTGTGGGAGTGTCGTGGATGCTGGTCTGCGCGGAGCTCTGGGCTCTGCCGCGTTCACAGCCACAGAAAGTGTTCGTTCATCCACTCATGCAGTCAGTCATCCCAAACGAGCACAGAGAGCCCCCCGAGGGCGGGCAGCACCCCGGGATCAGTGAGCAAACGCAGGGTCGCCTCCAGGAGGGAGGGAGGAGCCGGGATGGTGGCCAACACACCAATATATGCCTTCAAAGCAGTTCATGACAGCTGACAATTAATACAGAGGAAACTCGCAAGACATTTTCCTCGATGCCTTTATCCACATAAAAAAGCTGGAGCCCTGGTCGGTTTGGCTCAGCGGTTAGAGCGTTGGCCTGCGGTCCGGAGAGACCCGGGTTCGGTTCCCGCTAAGGGCACGTACCTCGGTTGCAGTTTGTCCCCGGCCCTGGTTGGTCGTGCGGGTGGCAGACACTCGATGTGTCCCTTCACGTCGATGTTTCTGTCTCTCTCTCCCTTCCTCTCTCTCCCTCCCACTCTATCTGTACAAAAAAAAAAATGGAAAAATATCCTCGGGTGAGGATAAAAAAAAAAAAAAAAAAAAAAAGCTGGAGGGCTGTGTCCCCAGCCATGGGGGGACACTTCAGTGCCAGGTGAAATCCCCTTCACACAGCAACTCGGAGAGCTGAGGGTGCCGCCCAGGTCACAAGCCAGGTCCTGACAGCCAGCGCTCCTAGCCCCGGTCTGTCCAAGCGGGTCCTCCCTCCGGCAGCCCTCCTGCCCAGAGCCCCACGCTCAGGTCAGACCCCACAGGCAGGTTCCAGAACTTACTACCTCACATTGTCGGCCCCTCCACATGCAGGTGCGCAGGCTCTGGGCTGGCCGAGCCGCACAGGTGCAGCGATGGGTCAGCAGGGTGGGGCGCAGCCCGGGGCATTCCTGGAGAGAAGGGAGGTAGCAGCCCTGGCCCCAATTGCTGCCCCTCACCCACCCCCAGCGTCTGGCCTCCCCACTCACCACCCCACTGCCACTCACCCACCCCCAGCGTCTGGCCTCCCCACTCACCACCCCACTGCCACTCACCCACCCCCAGCGTCTGGCCTCCCCACTCACCACCCCACTGCCACTCACCCACCCCCAGCGTCTGGCCTCCCCACTCACCACCCCACTGCCACTCACCAAGAATTTTCTTTAAACCAACTCTTTGCACTGAAATGTGTTTTACTTACTTTTTATTTTTGATTTTTTTACTTCCTCTATTGTAACTTTTATTTTTATGTATTTATTATTTTTATTTTTTAATCCTCATGCGAGGATATTTTTCCATTGATTTTCAGATAGAGTGGGAGGGAAGAAGGAACGGAGAGAGAGAGAAACATAGATGTGAGAGAGACACATCGATTGGTTGCCTCTCGCATGACCCCCACCAGGGTCAGGGATGGAATCACAACTGAGGTATGTGCCCTTTACTGGAATCGAACCCGATTGACCCCCTCCTTTCTGCTCCCATCCCCTCTGCCTTCCCCAGCCTAGTGTCCCTGCAGATTGGTTGTGCATATATATATGCATATAAATTCTTTGGTTTATCTCTTCCCACTCCGTCCACCCCCCATCCCTCTGAGGTTTGCCAATCTGTTCCCTACTTCCATGACTCTGGGTCTCTTTTGTTCATCAGCTCATTTTGTTCATTATGTTCCACAAATAAGTGAGATCATGTGGTATGTGTCTTTCTCTGACTGGCTTATTTCACTTAGCATAATATTCTCCAGGTCCCTCCATGTCGTCTCAAAGGAGAAGAGATCTCTCTTTCTTACAGCTGCATAGTACTCCATTGTGTACATGTACCACTGCTTTTTATCCACTCATCTACAGATGGACACTTGGGCTGTTTCGTTTTAAAAGAAACTGTCCCCAGTGACAGAAATGCAGCCCCCCTGCTGTGGACGGGCAGGAGCACAGTGCAGACTCGGGGAGTCCACCGGGGCTCCCCCTTGTTCAGAAGGACGCTGAGCAGGTGGGAGAGGGGGTCTGACACCGGGGCAGACTGTTCTCGTTCACATCCCCAGGGCCGAGATCGGACGGCATGTTCTATGGGGTGCTCCCTAGTGCCTGTCTGTGCTCTGCCCAAGACCACAGCTCATCCTCAGTGGTCTACACTGACGTCCCCAGTCACGGGCCCCCCCGAACTGCATGGGCGGGGCTGAAAGACACAGAAAGGCCAGGACTCAGGGTTTGCTCTGGGGTTTATGGGGAGCAACGAGGCAGAAGACAAGAGTGACAGCCAAGCTTATTTCTTAAACTATATACTGGCCCTGCCCTGGCCGGTTTGGCTCAGCGGTTAGAGCATCGGCCTGTGGTCCAGAGAGACCCGGGTTCAGGTCTCTCTGCTAAGGGTGTGTACCTCGGTTGTAGTTTGTCCCTGGCCCTGGTCGGTCGTGTGGGTGGCAGCCACTCGATGTGTCCCTTTCATGTCGATGTTTTTCTCTCTCTCTCTTCTTCTCTCTCCCTCCCACTGTATCTGAACAAAAAATGGAAAAATGTCCTCGGGTGAGGATAAAATACACACACACACACACACTGGCCCGGCCGGTGTGCTCAGTGGTTAGAATGCTGGGCCTCAGACCAGAGTTGCAGGTTTGATTCCCAGACAAGGGCATGCACCTCAGTTGTAGGTTCAATCCCTGGCCCTGGTCAGGGTTGTGCGGGAGGCAACCAATCGATGTGTCCCTCACAATGATGTTTCTCGCTCTCTCTTTCCCTCTCCCCTGCCACTCTATCTAAAATCAATGGAAAAATATTCTTGGGTGAGGATTAAAATTAAAAAATGAGTGACCCCATGTCTGCTGATCAACAGAAAATAAAGTCTCCTAGTGAATTTGGCCTTCCCAAAACACTAAGGGGTAAAGCCAAAGGGAGAGTCTTCCTCGGCCGGGACGATCTGAGGGGACATCATGGCGGAGGTGACATTCAGGCTGCCAGAGCCACCCACATATGTAGGATGTGCCCGTCGTCACCAGGGAGTCGGGGCAGGAGGCTGCACGGAGGCCCAATCCCACCCGGAGTGGCCTTTATTCTGAAACAAAGCCCAGGTTATTATCAGCCATCAAATCTGTCCTGAGAATCATTTTATACCCAAACACGAGTTGCAGGGAGTGTCATCGCGAACAAGAAGGACTGGGCCTGGGCTTTGTGGTGTTCCTGGGGCTGCAGAGAAGGCAGGATTAACAGCTAAGCAGTCAGTCATGGCTTCAGGGGGCCCAGAGCCAGAGCGCGCAGGTGCCTACCTGACCTGAGGAAGGGAGGGGTGCTCTCCCCGAAACTGAAGGCTCAGTGAGAATTAACCAGTCAAGTCAAGGAGGGATGTGCCCCTGGTGGAAGGAACAGTCTGGGCACAGCCTGAGAGGTGGAGCAGCCTGGAGCTCTGAAGTCCCCAAAAAGGAGTCCAGTGAGGAGCAGAGCTAGGCTGGAGAGAGGGGCGGGGGCGGAGCTAGGCTGGAGAGAGGGGCGGGGGACAGGGGCGGAGCTAGGCTGGGGAGAGGGGCGGAGCTAGGCTGAAGAAAGGGGCGGAGCTTGACCGGAGTGAGGGGTGGGGGCGGAGCTAGGCTGGAGTGAAGGGCGGGGACAGGGGCGGAGCTAGGCTGGAGAGAGGGGCGGAGCTAGGCTGGAGAGAGGGGCGGAGCTAGGCTGGAGAGAGGGGTGGGGCGGGG